CGGTTGTGTTAACACATTGTTAAGTGACTCGTGGAGTACGTTAGTAGAGGTTTGGTATGAAAAGTATAGTTCACTTATTTTGTATGTTTGATACACACATCCTATTATACATAACACCCGGGTTAATATTCGATATAATAGACTTATATTTATCATTTCATTGAAATTTGCCATCAATTCTTTAAAATTATTCATACTTATAAATTAAAAATTACAATGTTCTTTATGTCTTATTTCATATAAGAACTAGTATTGTATTTTAATAATAAACAACTTTTAATCTAGAAAATTATGTTGACTTGTTGATTTTAGTATTTTATTAAAACTTTCCTAATTTATTATAATTAATATAAATGTATATAAGTAAATGTTATGAATCTTTTATCATAGCAACACCTTAGTAAATACTAGTAAATTAAATTTTTATGCACTCTAGGCGGTATATAAACCTAGAATAATAAAATAATTGAAAATGTATTTAAATTATAAGCGCCCATTATTAATATATTTTCATCTAATATTAATTCATTAATTATTTTACACATAAAATAGAAATAAATTGAACACAAAAAACATTTTTAAATAATACAAACATACACAGCATTTTAATATAAAATATTTAGTTATACAATATTTCTACTAAATAAGACATTTTTGTTTAAATAAATAAAATGAAAATCATTTAATAAATGAATAAATAGTCATAAATGAATAAATAATTTATTTGATAACAAATGACATCAAACTTGCGATTTCTATTGCATAGTCTTATGTTCACCAATAAATCCGGGAGGGCTGGGATAGGCAGCAGTAGGCTGGCCAGTACTAGGCTCACCATAACTAGGCGGCGGGTGTATTGGTTCGCCATAAGAATGACCAACCGGTGAGGGATAGCCACTAGTCATAGGCTGCTGTTGTGAAGACTCATAAGGACCCGTAGGGTATGCGCCAGTAGTATACATCTGGCCATTGGGTGCCATTCCTTGCATCGGCTGTCCATAGTTTGGCACCTGTCCAGGGGGTGGCATCGGATACTCATAATTGGGTTGAGCGGGCATTACATTCCTATTATAAACGCCGGTAAAGCGGGTATTTAGGGCCAACTTCTCGAGTCGTTTCATATCTTTGGCAAAGTATGAGCCAAAACAGGCGCTCACGAAGAATACGACTAACAGGAAGTAGAGGAGACCCCCGCCTCCATATATCCCTCCCCATAGGCATAGGCCGGCCAATATTGACGAGAAAAACGAGTATATAATACACAACCAGTAGATCTCCTTATTGGCGCCCCAAATGCCCAGTAATTCCAGTACTATGGATAGTACACCAAATGATATTATAATGGCCCTGGTGGTTCTCTGAGATTGAATTAATAATTAGGGACTAATTTATAATTATTCTTTGTATGTTATATTTATTTACTATCGTATCCTGGTCATATATAGTGTTGTATGAATAGCTGTTAATATTGTTGAGTCCGATCATCAGTAAAGCAAATATGATGACCACACATACCAGGGCCACACCGCACCCGGCATACATAGCCCGCTGTAGGCTCCGGTACCTATTGTCCGCGTTTTGGTAAGTCATCGTTAGCACCAGGATATTTTTAGCACAAATTTTTCATTTGATTCACTAATAGTAAAGATTTTAAGCAAATTGCAAACATTGAATTGTTTTATATAATGTACTGTATGTTATATCTTATATAATTGCTTTATATGCTCATATAATTAAAGTAATTGCAGACTAAGCGTTAACTATTATAACTTATAAAATCGCAAACTTTTTTATGATTTATTGTATTTCAAGGCATGTTTGCAATATTACATACGATTTACCAGCGGTTTAACGCAAAGGAAATTATTTTGAATTTATCACAATTTTTACTTTAATACATACAAAACTTTTAATATTGTTTTATTATACTTGATGTCACTTATTACTGATATATTTTATGTAACAATCAGGACAGTTGCAAAATTACATAATAATAATTCAAGTAATAATCAGATTATAAGTACCTCAACAGTATGTTGTTAGTAGTAAAGTTACTTATGTTCAGATCGAGTAAACTAGTTTAAATTGTCTAGCAGATAATAATGATTAATTATTTAATAATATTTATTTATTGGTTCAAAAAATATCATTGTTTTATTTAAATAATTAATATTTAGTGATAATAAATATTATTCAATAATGTTATGATGGTTTGTACTCTATTTATATAAATTTGTTATATTAGTCAACAGATAATCAAAATTAATTTGGATATTTTAATAAAAATTTGCAATTAAGCATAAACTTTATTATAAAATACAACATTTAATAAATTAATAAATAATAACAGAATATTATTTAGAGATTAATTAATTTAATAAATAATCACAGAATAATGTTATGGTGGTTACAGAAAAACAACACCCATACACAAAAAACTACTGGCGCTTTATTGCATAGTCTTATGCTCACCAGCACCGGGTGGGTAGTTAGGATCATGGGCACCCAATACATGCAGATTAGGTTGTCCGGCACCTGTCGAGGACTGTCCATAACTAGGGGGCTGTTGTGTTGACTGTCCATAAGAATTACCCACCGATGAGTGATAGCCAGTACCCATGGGCTGGTGTTGCGATTGCTGATAAGGCCCGGTAGGTTCAGTCATATACATCTGGCCATTTGGTGCCATTCCCTGTGTGGGTGGTCCGTAGTTGGGTACCTGTCCTGAGGGTGGTATTTGATAACCATAATTAGGTTGACCCGGCATTCCCGACACGTAAACAGTGGTATTTTGGGCCAACTTCTCGAGTCGTTTAATATCTTTGGCAAAGTATGAGCCAAAACAGCCGCTCACGAAGAATACGACCATTAGATACCAGAGCAGACCTCCAGCGCCAGCTATACCGCCGTATAGGCACAGACCTGCCAGCACTGACGACAGTACAGCGTAGATAATACACAGCAAGTAGACCTCCTTCATGGCAGCGCCTATACCCAGCAGTTCCAGTATTATAGTCAACACACCAAACGATATGAATATAGATCTGGCGGTACTCTGGCATTGGATTAGGGATTAAATTTGTGGTCAATTATTATGATCAATATTGAAATTAATAAATTTTACTTATCAGGGTTTTACTTACAATAGAGTCCTCGGTGTAATACCCGGTTGTAAGGCTGTTAATATTATTGAGGACTATCATGAGTAAGGCAAACACAATGACCGCGGACACCAGGGCCACACCGCACCCGGCGTACATGCCTCGCTGTAGGTTCCGGTGCCTACTGTCCGCGTTTTGGTAGGCCATGGTTTATTAGTGCTACTTTATTGTAATAACTTGGTAGAATATAAGTTAACTTAAGGGTATAACTTGGTGAAACAACAAAAATAGTGAAGTGTTTCCAACGAGTATTGTGTGATTAATTTGCTTTGTATTATATCTTATACCTAAAAGTCTGCGTTTTATGGTTTATTAGATTTCATTGCATTTTTGAAACACGACTTATGAGTTAATAGTGCTTTAATGCTTAGCGATTATCTCTTATCAGGCATACCTACTCTAAGATATTAGTAACCTATCCATAAAATATATAATAAATACTAAACTTTTAACGTACTTGCGATATGTCTAACAGATTTTGTAATTATTATGCTATTCGGAAATAATTTGGTACCTATTATACTAGCTATCACTAGATAATTATCATGGTTACGTTGGATCGGGATCAAATTAATTAAGTGACTAATGTTATGAGTCACATACAGTGATTATCTAACAAGTGTAAGAGTAAAATACAAAAAATATAACAACACGATTTAAGATAGTTTAATTAATTAAAGTATCATGTAATAAAATAATTTTTGTTTTCTAAAAATATATGTACAAACATATTACCGTAATTTATCAATGATTGCATTTTGCGATTATTACACAAATGAATGAATAATTTAATAAATAATTGCAAAGTCCCTACACAAGCACCCGGGCCTACAAGTCAGGCATAGTCTTATGCGGGGCTATATATCCAACCATAGGTGGTTCGGGATCTAATTGCTGTCCACTACCGCCCGGTTCAAACTCACTATAACTCGGGGGTTGAAGCCCCTGCTGGGCATAGGAAGTACCGACCGGTGAGTCATAAGCACTGGTCATCCCTTGATGTTGCGATGACTGGTAACCACTTCCAGGGAAAGCATACATATGACCATTAGGTCCCTGCATAGGTACGCCATAATTAGACACCTGCCCAGGGGCTATCATCTGACCGGGATGTAACATCTGTCTCTGTGGTAACCCCTCTGCAGGAGGTGGCACTTGATACACAATACTCTGCTGCGGGGCCGGTAGTCCGTTGTAATACACAGCCATACTCCAGGCTAACCTCTTAAGCCGTTTGATATCTCTGGCGAAATAGCAGGCGCTGGAACTGGAGACCCAAGATATAGCCGCTAAGTAGTATAATTCCCATCCAGTTCCGGTGATTAGTTGACCCCCGGCCACACATATTCCGCCCACCGCTGTAGATATGATGGCGTATATAATACACAACCAGTAATTCTGTTTATATGCCGCCCAAACCCCCACCAGTTCTAAAAATATAATGGCCACACCTATCGCCGCGAACACAATTTCTGCAATCTGTAAGGGAAGTCATAATTGAATTAAGTTTTAGATTTTTATGAGTATTAATTGTCGTTACTTGAGCAGTGGCAAAATATTCGTAATAATCGTAATTGTCTTTATTGGTAATGAGATTGTTGATTGTGAGGGACATCACCACAATATCAGATACCAGTGCCACAGCGCACCACCAGTATAATGACCGCTGTATAATCAAGTGTTTTTTGTCCGAGGTTGGTAGAGCCATTATTATTATATTCTCGGCACCAAGCTAATAAATAGTGAAATATTTATTAAATAAATAAACTAGGAATATAATTATAGTTGATTTACATTGATAATTACTAATAATAATTATTATTAAATGCTAACATAAAGTTATTAAAACTTTATCGAAAATGTTTTGATTTATTTCACAGCATTTTTGAAACATCACTTGTGGTAATACCTGTGGTTTAATGAACAAACAATGCATTTAACTGAGATTACCTGTGTACGTTTATAAGTGTTTCATGTTTCCCTCAAACATCTTATACATTACTTAATGTATATTACTTAATTATCTGAGAATATTCGGAAAATTAAAAATTTACAAGAATTTATATGACATGAATAATTGTAAACTAGTAGAATAATGAATAATTTATTTACACAATTAATCAACACAACAGGCGCATTTTGAAAAATCAAAATAACTTTTAAACTGTATAAATATGAACTGAACTGTACTGGTATTTTATTACTTTATTATTAAATTACAGTCTACAGTATTTGCTTTCAAGCAGTATGTGTTATCGTAATCAGTAAATGTGCGGTATATCTGGTATTGTTTTAAATATTTCATATCATATATTATTTTAGCGACCCTAGCATTACATTGAATAAAACTCAGATTTTCATTATAATAAGGCATGATTCACATATTACGTTCGCACTTAGGGGGGAGGGGGTCAGCCAAAGCGAACTTTTGCGAACGAGAGGGGGAGGGGGTTGAGACCTTAAGAACATTCGCATAAAATGATTAATAGATTTAAGAAAATAATTTTAACGGATTAATTTGTATCAAAGTTAATCTTTTGAAAACAATTGCTTGATAACTTTGAATAGAAATAATTTCCAATTTATGAAATACAGTATTTTGAAAGTGAAAATAATTTTATAAAAACATTTTAAACATGACCACCTCTAACACTATTTCTAAAATTACTGTCGATTCCATGTTTATAATTAATTATTTAAATGATTGGTTTAATTTTAATTAAATTACATATATACTTAGTGGTATTTGATTTCTTAGAGGTGGGGGTGTAGGGACATGAGAACGTAATTTTCTAAAATGGTTACAAAGGGGGGGGGGAGAGGTCAAGATTTCTCAAAAAGTTCGAACGTAATATGTGAATCACGCCTTATAGCAACTGCTATTTAATATGATCAGGGTGAGTGCATTATCTCATAAATAGGTGATGCCCTTTTTATGAGATTAATATAACTGTAATAATTTGTATTCTAAATATTCAAATCAATATTGTGTATTTCAAAGTATANCTGCTATTTAATATGATCAGGGTGAGTGCATTATCTCATAAATAGGTGATGCCCTTTTTATGAGATTAATATAACTGTAATAATTTGTATTCTAAATATTCAAATCAATATTGTGTATTTCAAAGTATATAGTAAATGTTTTATAAATTGTTTAGTATACTATGTTTTATCAGTATCAATCAAGTGATTGAATATAACAATAGCTCTCAAAACATTTATATTTATCATAAAACAGACAAAAAATCAATGTTAAGCTTAAATTCTAATGTTTTAAGAATATAGCATTTTAATGTCAATATCTAACTTGCTAGTTAATAAATTAATAAGGTAATAAGATAGCTATGTTAGACTTTTGAACATTGTGTTAACAAAATATTTTTATTTATTAGATAACAGATATAATTACAATTAAGTGATAAAAATGTGACAATAAATTAATAAACAGTTTATTACATTTAAGGTCCACAAGTTATGAAAATAAATTGCACTGGTTAATTACAATATTGCATTAAAAGTGTACCAAAAAATTATGACAACGGTTGCCATCCAGGTGCCGGTGGCTCTGGCTTTTGACCAGTACCTGGACCTAAATTAGTATTAGGGTCAGGTGCACCGAATGCTTGCATATTGGGCTGACTACTAGTAGCCGACTCAGTATAACTGGGCGGTAGGACAGGCGGCTCAGAATACTGTGCCCCTCCACCACCAGCACCTACCGGTGCCGGGTATGTAGCAAACGGTAAGGGCTGTTGTGGTGGCTGATAGGATGAGAATGTGGTCGTCATATACATCTGACCGTTGGGTGCCATTTGCTGAGTGTTCACACCATATACGGGACCTAACTGTCCCGGAGGTGGCACGTGGTATACGACATTCTGTTGACCGGACACACCATTCATATAGACAGTGGTGTTGAGCGCCTGTGTCTTAAGCCGTTTGATATCTTTAGCAAAATAGGAGCCAACACACCCGCATGTGAAGTACAGCACCGCTAACCACCAGTTCCCGCCATAACCATAGATTATGGCGTTTGCAAAGCACAGGCCTCCCAGTATTGATGATATTACAGCGTAGGTGAGGCACATGCCGTAGTGCTCCTTATGGGCGCCGGCTATGCCCATGAACTGCAGTAATATACTGATCACACCCTCGGTTATCACGATCGCAGTCATTGTTCTCTATATTTAATTGAATGTAATTTAATTATTATAATTATAATGAGTTAGGATTTGTATCAATTAATATACCACGGAGTTGTAATAGCTGTCATAGTATCTATAGTTGTTGATGACAACCATGTTTAGGGACAGTATGATGACCGCCGATATGAGGGCCACCACACAACAGGCCACTAGTGAACGCTTGAGGTTCCGGTGCCGGATGTCCAATGGGTTAGGCATTTCCGGGGTTAAGTTACGTACACACAATATAACTGTAAAACTTGTATGAATTTTACATTTAAAATAATTGCATTAATAATTGAGTGCTTTATGTGTGAATGCAAAGTGACTGCACAATTGTAATTGTATTAAATGAGCACGGCAATTAAATTCATTATAATTGATAAAATAGCATATATTTCATACAATATTTACGACTAGTAAAACATGTACAATTTATGGTATTTTTGAGACAATCATTTATGATGCGCTTAAGTGTATCTGTTTATTAATGAGATAGTTGTGTTTGATTATTGCCTTGGTGATTTTATCTCATATTTTATTATAGTTGTGTAAATGATTTACTGTACAAGTGATTCATTTTTTGTATGTATTTTTGAGGCAATAGTATTTAGGTTCAAGTTCACGTTCATTGGACATAATAGTTTACAATTTATAAATATAATTTTATCTCTAAAAACTGTATTATAAAAATTTGTTTTACAAACCTTATTTGCATAATAATTAAAATTTGTTTTGTTAATAAAATTAACTTTATTTTTCTTGCAATTTAATTACAAAGTATTATAACAAGCACATATCAAATTAATAATCATCAATTGAATCGTAAAGATTATATTTGACATCAGTTTCATTGAGCACCGACCTCTTCAATCGTAATATCTGTGCCGCAAAGTATACGGCAGTAAATCCGGACACAAATAGTAGTATAGTCAGGACCAGGTCACCCCAATAATGTCCGATAAGGGCTAACCACTCGCATACACCACCAGTAATAATTGATATGAAAAAATAAACATAGCACCAAACATAGCTTTCCCTATGGGCGCCCCATAAGCCCAGTATTTGATTTAATGGGGCTGTCGTAATGACTATTATACTAAGAATTTTTGCCAAGGTCTAGCCGGATAAATTAAGATAATGTTATTTTAATTAAATGTTATATAGTTTTAAAAATAAATTTATATATTACAATTTGTTGTTGATTCAAATTAGTTGAGCCATTGTTTGAGTTATAATAAGCCAATGATAAGGACATGTCGGTTATGGTCAGTATGAATGCCAGGCCACATAAAACATATAGTGATAATTTTGTATACCGGTACTTTTGGTACTTTAGCCACGGTTTGGGATTCATTATTATTATTACTGCTTATTATAACACGCAATTATTAACTATTTATTTCCTTGATTATTTATTTTGACATTAAAAAATAATGTTCACATCTCAATATTTAAGTTAGCAAGCAATAATTTTGACTTAAGAACAGTTAACTATTAAGTTTAAGGATTAATTATTATACAATGTATATATTTTTATTTAATCACATTTTATAAGTATCATTAATAATTCTTAAAACTGATAAAACACTTATCACCATTATCACAAGTCTGGACATTTATCGATACTTAACTGTATGCGATAATAAGCGAGTTCACTATTGCACAAACAATATACCTTATTATATTATATAATTTTTAATATAGAGATATACGTTCATACCCTTATATTTTTGTTTGAATGTTATGTTAGTTATGTTAAAATAATAAATAGATCGTCTGTATAAAAATAATTTTTAAACAGAAGTTGTCAAAATAAATTTATATACAAATAATTGTGTGTTAAATGTATAAATATAACATATTTATCATTTTAACAAACATCATAATTATTAAATAATATATAAATTTATTTTTAAATAATAAATTACTTAATCAAAAATTAATTCTAATTTTTTTACTGTATTAATGTTAAATATTAATTACAAATTATAAAATAACATAGCTGCAAACAATGTATCACCAGAATAAATATTGTCAGAAATTAATAATAAATAAAATCACAATTAATCAGTTAATTGGGAACTGTTTTGTGTTCATACATATTTTCATTTAAGTAAGTGGCCGAACCTCCTGGTGCTTCGTATGACTGTCCAGCACTAACATCCACATCAGGGACTGAATAAGGTGGTGGTGAAGTTGATGGATCTACATATGCCGGGGTGGGTGTTGGATAGGCCACCACTTGCGATGTATCATACATTGGACTCGAAACTACTACCTGTCCATTGTGGGCCGGTATTGTTTGCACTGGAGTTAAAGTAGGAGTAGCGTAGACAGGTCTGTTGGGTACCTGTGCTGTGGGCATAATATATGGGGGCTGACCCGTACTGGATATATGATACACCATATTAGGCTGTAATGCGGCGTTCATATAGACCGTATGGCCGGGCATGTTATCGCATCGGCGTATCTCCCGTGCAAACTGACAGCTCAGGGAACCACAAAACCCGAGCACAACCATTAGTACCCAGATTACTAGATATTCACTGATTATGGCCGATACGATACAAAGGCAGGCTAGTAGTATGGATACTACACCGTAGGTCAGACACATGTAGTAGTGCTCCCTACCCGAGCCCCATAGGCCTAGGATCTGGCTCAAAAATGTAATCACACTTATTGCTATGATAAGCGCCCTTGATGAACTCTGTTAAATATATAGAAAATGAGTTATAAATTATAACTTATACAGTATTACTTTAAAATAAAATTCAACAAAATAATTATTTTACAATTGCACTGTCTGTTATATAAGCTGAAATTAAAGCAATTTCATTTAGGTAAATAATTGTAAAAGCCAGCACAATTATGGTGACCACAAATGCTATACCACAGAATGACATGAGTGACCACTTTATATACCGGAACCTTTTGTCCCGATATTTTTGTAAGCTAGCATCCATTATGTTAATAATAAAATTAACACGCTATGTTTTAAATATACAACTTTATTTTACAGTATGATTACACTGAAAATATTTTTATCCACTAAATTCAGTACACATTTACTAAATAAAGACAAAACATATAATAATTGTCAGAATTGTATTTCATTTCAAAAACTTGTGCTTAAAATAATAAAATAGCAATAAAATTGATAATACATTGTGTCTCTATTGGTGACTATGGGATACCCTTGAAAGTAGGACTAAACTGTAAGTAACTTTCAATTCATATAACAAATTATATAACAAATAAGTCAAACATTATATAACAAATGAATTTCATACCAATTTCTTAAACTGTTTTTTATTTACCCAGATACACATATAAGCTTATTAATCAAATTATATCATTAAATAACTTAAATGAAAGTATTTTTTTAAAATTCAATAATAAGTATAAAATCATAACTTTATTAATTGGGAATAGTCTTGCGTTCCTCAATATTCTCATTGAGGTAACTGTTCGAACCTCCCGGTGCTCCCTGTGCTCCACTCGGCTGTTCATTAACACTCATTCTACTGATATCCTCCTGTGACTGGGTATAAGTTGGCGGTGAGGTTGATGAACCTCCATATGAGGGTCCAGGGGTTGGAAAGGCTACCACTTGCGATGTAGGGTACTGTGGACTCGACACGAATATCTGTCCACTTTGGGCTGGCATTGTCTGAACTGCAGTCAGGGTAGGACTCATATACATGGGTCCGGTTTGAACCTGACCTCCCTGTACCATATATGCGGGCTGACCAGTATTGGGCATCTGATACACCATATTGGGTTGTATACCCGGGTTCATGTATACCGTCTGGTTAAGCACAGGCATCCTATTTGTGCGTTTGATCTCTCGCGATAGCTGACAGCCCAGTGAACCGCATATTACGAAAAATATGATCAGGAGCCAATCAATCCCACCGGCACCTACAATTGCCGATACGATGCATAGACCGGCCAGTAGTATCGATCCAATACCGTAGCTCAGACTGATATAGTAGTGATCCTTATAAGCGCCCCATAGACCACCGAATTGGGCTAATATTGAAAGCACGCCCACTGTTATGATGAGTGCCCTGCTCGTATTCTACAAATATAAAGTTGTGTAAATGCTATAAGTTATACCGTATTAATATATTTTTTTACTAGATAATAAAACAAATTATACATACAATTTGGTTCTGGGTATAATAATAACTAGAATAACTATAACTATTGAGGTACGGTAATGTTATGGACATAACGATGATGGTCATTACAAGCGTTATCCCACAAAACGACATGACTGCCCACTTGATGTACCGGTACCTTTTGTCCCGTAGTGGTTTTGGGGGGCTGGCATCCATTGTTGTAATTAATACGATATAATAGACTGTTTGTTATTTAATTTATTATTTATAAATTTTAATTATTAGAGTAAAGTGTTATAATTAATAATACAATAAAATGTCGCTTAACTTATTATTACTATCTATATTTTAATATGATTTTTATTTTTCTGGTATTTCAATTGTGTTTTAAAAATAATGAAATTACTTATGGTTTCCACCACTGATAACACATATAGTTACTTAGGGTTACAATTAGTTTCCCTGGATTATAATTGCCGTACATAAATCATTATTTCTAATAGTTATGTAAAAAATATATACATTTTATTTCATAACTATTATTAAATATTGAATTCCGGATTAAGTGCCCTTGTTGATTAAGTGATCTTTTTTATGACAAATAAATTATTTATTGGTTTCTATGATTTATTAATAGATGTTTATGAATCTAATTGTTCAGTAGGTATAAATTATTATCACTATATTTCTAGATAAGTTATATCAAGAGGTGTAGGTATTAAATAACTCAGACATGTGTCAGTGGTATATGTCACTCGTTAGCTACAAAAAAATAATTATCTGATTATTAACACAATTTTATAAAATATAAACTTAATTTATTTTGGAAACATAAAAAAATTATTTAATTAATTAATAACAAATAAACAACAACAACAAAATACATAATTTATTTAACAGTAAAATTATTTATCATGATATAATTTAAAATTTAGTACTTGAATATGTTATACCGTATTTAAAAGCATGTTTAAATAATTAATATTTTATTTATGCAATAAATTCAGTACAGTTTCATAAATCATTTGTAAAAATAAAACTTGTAAACAAATAGCACCCGTATATTACTGGAACACCACCTTACGTTCCTCAACATTCTGATTTGCAATACCATCCGAACCTCCCGGTGCCGCACTTACAGACATATTACTAATATCCTCCTGAGACTGCCTATAAGTTGGCGGATTATCTGCCGGCCCCACATACGCCGCTCCCGGTGCTGGAAACGTGACTACCTGTCCAGTTTGTGACTGAATATACACGGGACCCGTTTGTCCCGGTATTGTCACTGGTGTCAAATATATGGGTCCTGACTGAACCTGAGCACCGGGCACCACATACGGGGGCTGACCGTTATTATTCATGTACACGACGTTCGGACTGAGGGGTGGGTTCAGTAGGCGCCTGATCTCGCGGGCAAACTGTAGGGCAACACTCGCACATATGGCAAAAAATATCATCAGGAACCAATCACCCACACTATTGCCAGTGAGCGCCGACACTATGCACAGGCCGGCCAGTATGGCTGAGACGATCCCGTATGCCATCGTAAAGTTGTAGTGCTCCTTATGGGCCCCGTATAGACCCAGGAGCTGTATGACCAGGGATACGGCTCCTATGGTGCCTATTATGCCTTTAGCTGTACTCTGTGAACAATTTTAAATAAGTTTAATTAATTACTTTTAAATAATTATATTTGCCCTGGACCTATTTTTAGAAACTTTATTACAAATTGTAACTAGCAACTGGATTGTTACGCAAGGCATTAGGGTAATTTTGGTTTTGACTTAACTATATCACTTGAAACCCAGGTATTCGTGATGTAATAGTCATCGAGAGCGGCCAGGGATGTGGACATAATAATGATGGTCAACACAAATGCGATGCCAGCGCACGACATAAGTGTATACTTTATGTTCCGGAACTTCCGGCCCTTTACACCCTGTGCTCTATTCGCATCCATAGGTGTCATAAATGTTGTATTTATTTATGTTTTAATTAATTTATTATTATTTTTGCAAAAATAATATGGATGTAAAGTATACACTAAAATCACATTAATTATTTTATTATACAGTATATTTTTTTATACAATTGCTGATTGCAATGCACACAATCAATGTCTGGTTTCTAACGATTGATAACACTTTTGTCACTAATGGTGACAATGCATTACTAATCAGCTATTCAACTAACAATTATATTACGTAAATAGCAATGTTACATTAAAAGGTAATTTTTATAAATAAAATATTTAATGATAAATTTATTTTAAAATGTTAAATTTTAAAAGAATAAGATACAACAAACTTAATAAACTTATAATGTATAGAAAGTGTTAAGAAATAAAAATATAAATGTAAAGCTTAGCTAACAAAATAATTAGCCCAGGGTTGTTTGTGTCTCTTTGTCATTCTTATAAGTAACCGAAATATTAATCGGATTTTGATTACGAATTGCTTGAGAATAACGCGGAGGTGGGCTGGGAGGTGGTGTAGTAGCGAGCATAGGTGCATTTGGAAGTACCCGGGTATCAGCATCGGTGATCATATCACCATGATCCTGACGCGTAAAATTAGCGAGTTCTACTTGTGAACTAGGTGATCTTATTACCATTTGAGCTTGGCGTTTCCGCTCGGACTTATACATGCGATTCCCAAACACAAATGAAAATAAGCTAGTTAATGTAAATAGTGCTGCCAGTAACCAATAGGTAACAACACCGGAATGGTAGGCCATTTTTGCGGTGAAACCGGACACAGCACACATTAAATAGAAATATACAATGCGACAACAGTAACTGCCCTTGGTCACGCTACATATTCCAATTATCTGAACGGCTATTACATACGCGCCCACATATAACACCATAAAACTATCCTGTTCCTATTTGAATTACAGTATATAATAAATTAAAATTATTTAATCGTAACAAGAATATTCCTAATTAGAAATCTATATTACAAACTTAATTTATATTTAATTTAATTAACTAAATTTTAAAAGGTAAGTTAATTGACATACCAGTGCGTTTTGTTTATCTTTCTCTACATTACTTCCCGACAAATAGGTTTGTCTGAAGGTTAGGTCCATTACGATGACCACTGATATAATACAAATACAGCTCATGGATAGCAATATCCATTTTATGCGTGTATGACAATTACTTCGACCATGGTCAGCCATACTATTAAAATATTAAATAATTTTTTAATTTTTCTAAATCTAGTAAACCTATTATAATAATGTTAATACTTATTATACTTACTCTCCGATCTATTTTCTATGCAAAAAAATTAATGAATTTTATTAAGTTTGTAAATCAAAGTAATTTTATTTATAAGACAAAAATTTTCACTTTAGTATATCAAATTAATAACACCAGTGCACCAGACTTTTATTGTTTTACTAACACTCCTTTAAAAAATATGAAATTTAAATCCTTATATCCTTTTAAAAATATGAAACTTTCAAAAACAATTTCTTGTATAAAATTATGAATGAATGTATGTATGCGTGTGTTATCTGTGTGTATGCCTACGAGTGTCACAATTTAACGTTTAATACCAATTCTGAAGATCCGCAAGAATTTCCCACAGAATTACTCATTGTTTGCATAATTCTGGTCATAATTGGAGTGATTCTAGTTTATGCAGTTTTTGTCACCAATTATCACAAACGCAAACAAATGACAATCGATACCATTGTACCGGACTTTAGCTCTAATGAAAACTCTATAAATATCATATTTCTGAGACGACAACTCATGAATCCAAAGGCATCTCATTGCCTAACATCGGAGAGACCGTCAGAAATGTCAACAAAAAATATGCAATAAATTCAAATAAAAAGAAATATTCAATTGTTAATTAAAAAGGTTTAAACAGCTTTTTTGTGATTTGTTTAGTCATTAAATTCATTATATAAATTTGAGATAAAAATGTGATCTAAATTTTAAGAATTTTCAAATTATAACAAAAATTGTTATTCAAAACTATTCCTATAGTCTATGATTCACATAATTGTTTGAATACTATCTATGTTATTTAATAAATTATCATAATTTCACTTCAGTTTAATGTATTTTATTTAAAATATTTACACAGCATTAGAAATAATAGTACATATAGTAATTATTATACAAAGAGATTTGCAAACATTTATACAATTTTATAGATAATTTTTGTCTTTATTTCAATTTAAATGAATGACATATAAAATATTTGCATGAATTTCGTATTTCAAACAATAGATCACTTGTTTGAAAACATCAAACCATCCGAATCTCGATAAATTAGATAAATAAATACGAGAATCACTATAATTATGACACAAATGATCACTAATAATGATATGAAAATTGGAGTCCAAATGCTGTCACTGCGGCAGTCAATCCAATCGCTAATGTGTTTTACATGACATACCGGGCGATACACATTTAGTCTAACTGAAAACATGCAAACAAACTGATGGCCAAACAGATACAAACGGAGAAGGGTTGTTTCAGTACCATCACGCCGATGGTATACATCCGGGACAACAAATCCATTGGTAGCCGGCTTTCCATTAACATATAGTTTCATATAATTGTCTTCATTTCTGGGTAGAGTCGGCTTAAGAGAAACTTTCGTTTTATCCGTATTGTAATCAATTCCATAGAAATAATCATTAGGCCAGTCATCCTTGTAGCGCCCGTACAGCAAGTTAATGTAATCGCCCTCACCTTTGACCAGATATGCAACGTCTGCACCAAATACATAGGCACTGAATGTCTGGTTTCGAAGTTTGGGATCAATTGTTATGTTTTCATTCCTTAGAAGTCTCTTCTGGTTATCAAATACGGATTGAAAAGTCTTTTCTCTCTAAACAGGAGTTTTAATCGTAAGATATATAAGACATTTGGCAAAACATTTTAGTTTCAAGTTATTTTAAGCATACATTCCATAGGATATAACGGGATTTATCATAAAAAGAGAGACTAATCGTGTGATTCAATCCAAGGAACAGTTGTCTCGTATTTCCATGCCTTGAGATCTGATGTTTGGATGGATTGTCGGCGAGGAATGGATTGATCTCATAGTAGTTATCACCAGAAAATATGGTCAACTGTTGACTCCCATCCCTGTCCTCGTATTGCAGCGAATCAATTGCTTGATTGCAAGCGAATGGCTGACAAAATCCAAACAATTTAATAATTTATAAAATAATGACTCATTTCTATGTCTTACCGATTGATCACATCTAATATGATATTGTGTTAAGAAATACACAAACAAACAGAAGTTTAGTGAAGACATAATTTTGAAATTCATAGTTTACTGGAAATGAAAAGATATTTAAATATTTGGTATTTAACTGTTATCCAGGGTACAAAAAGAGGGTCTTAAATACGTTGGAAATTCTTGACCCATTGTTGCGATTATAATGAAAACAATAATAGGTTTACATGCAAAACAATTGCAATTAGACAATGGACGCGATTCTCAAAAATGTGTGGGGCATATAGATGTATGGTGATATACCATATTTGTGCTGGCATATTTGCTATAAATTTAATTGGTCTCAATATTAATTAATTTTAACATTTATAAAATTTTACGATATACAATTTGAGAATCGAGTCCATTGTCTAATTGCAATTGTTTTGCATGTAAACCTATTATTGTTTTCATTATAATCGCAACAATTTTGACAACTATTCCCCACATTTAATAAATGTCACACATTATATCCAAATGTTTATTAATTTTGTACATCATTTTAATCATGGTATTATTTTATCTTATCTCATGTTTGTAAGACAGTGGTCCAAAAATTATGTAAACCTCATATTAATACAAAATATTTGTGCATTGCATTTATTTATTCAATTGCACCTGCGTATTTAAGCAATATTTAATTTTGAAAATATTAAATTAAAAATAGATTTTTTGTTAAACCTTTGAACTTCTTATTAATAAAGTTGTTTAAAATTAAATAAAACTATTTTAACAAACAAATATCAATATAACTTTTTATTCTATGATAAGTGGTATGTTTATATAACTTATGATCCAGGTGCTGATGTTAAAATAGTTGTCCTATGTTCGCCATAATTATCATTAGATATGGACGTAGTCTTATAAGTAGTACTCATGGCCTCAGACTCAACATAACTGGGAGGTCGTGGCGGGTATAGCGATGCCGTAACTAAAGTCCCCGCGGTTAGTATCTGTCCATTTAATTGAGGGTCAGGTGCCATATAATTATTAAAGACAGGCACCGGGCATACCAACCGGGTCTGACCCATATTGTATGTAATGGTAGTGAGCTCCAGGAGCCTACGGACTCGGATACGTCTGGCGAATGATAACGCAATGAAACTGCTGGTGAAAAACCAAATGGTAAGGATCCAGACCAAAGGGTAGCCGGACTGTAGGGCCGATAGTACAGCCGCGCAACCAATAAGTGATATTAAGACACCATATGTTATACACGTATAGTAGTGCTCCTTATAGGCACCCCATAGCCCCAGTAGTTGTAGTGCAATGGCCACCGCACAGACATTTATTATGAAGGTCTTAGTAGTATCCTAATGAGTTTAAATTAAAATCCATAACTTTAATAATGAAGTTAACTGACAAAGGTGTATTACTT